TCAGAATGAGTAGTTGAACGTCTCGGTGTCCTCAGGGGGCAGGCGGGGGGGAGCGCGGAGAAGGGCGGGAGGAGGGGGGAGCGACGGAAGGATAGAATAGAATGAGGGATTCCTCAGGAGGGAAGGCACGATCGTGGGAAAGCTGGGCTGGGGGACGGAGCAGGGACAGAAGAGGAGTGAAGGATGAGTGACGGACGGAAAAGCGGAGAGAGAAGGGAGGAGGGAGGGATGAAGGGAGGAAGGGACGGAGGGTGAATGGGGGAAGGAGGGCGGAGGAGGGACGAAAGGAGGGAAGTAGGAGTCCGATTGACGGGTTGGCTCCAAGGTGGCCACACCTCCTGCTTACCGGGCTCCAAATCGGGCGCCGAAAAAAGACATGTTGAACGTCTTGGTGCGCATGGGGGAGTCAGGCCCTACGAAGGAGCGGAGAGCGAGGGACAGGAAGAGGAGGAGGAGGAGGAAGAGCAAGAACAGGGAGGAGAGCGAGGACATTATTTACGGAGACAACCAATCCCACAAGCAGTTGCCACATCCAAGGAGAAGTCGCCGAAGTGCGCCAGCCGATCACCGAGTCCAGACGACAAGCGCCGGCCTCAAAAGGGCCACCAAAGATGCCTAGCACAACAGAAGAAAATCCGCCAGCCCCCTTGTGGGGCCACCAGGCTGTAGGAGCGGGATTCGCAGTTTCCTGTACCAGTTGGGGAGGCCCAAACCGGCTTTTTAGCACCCCCTGGGCGCGTTGTCTGAATTGCTGGGGGGGCTCGAAATCCACACCCCTCACACAGATCCGCGGGGTCAGGGTCCAAAAACACAGGGGATTTGCCACATTTCTGAAATTCGGTGCCACCCCTCACGCAGATCCGCGGGGTCAGGGTCCAAAAACACATGGGATTTGCCACATTTCTGAAATTCGGTGCCACCCCTCACGCAGATCCGCGGGGTCAGGGTCCAAAAACACAGGGGATTTGCCACATTTCTGAAATTCGGTGCCACCCCTCACGCAGATCCGCGGGGTCAGGGTCCAAAAACACAGGGATTTGCCACATTTCTGAAATTCGGTGCCACCCCTCACGCAGATCCGCGGGGTCAGGGTCCAAAAACACAGGGGATTTGCCACATTTCTGAAATTCGGTGCCACCCTTCACGCACATCCATCGCAAGGCGTGGTAACCCAAACTGCGAGAACTCCCTCGGCCCTTTAATCGCAAGGTGTGGTAACCAAGCCCGTAAACCATACACGTCTTACCAATCGCCAGGTGTGGTAACCCCTCTTGTGATCAGTTGGTTTTGCTGATTGCGAATCGGCTTCGCATGAAGTTTCGATACTGGTTCACGACAGCGCCAAGGCCTCATGACTTAGCTCTTCCATGGCCCATTCTCCGAGAGAGGGGGCCGGCGGCAGGGGGCGAAGCCCTTACGGATAACGAGGGACGAACGCAATGAGACGGAAGAGGCGCAGGAGCGAGAGGTGAAGGAAGGACAGGGCGTCGAAGCAGTTCTTGCACCTGCGTGCGCGCAGCGCCATGGAAGGCCACACCCCCTCGCGCGCAAACTCGGTGCGAATTGCAAAAGGAACGCTCGACTGAAGAGGGACTGTGGCCCAACAACTAGTCCGAGAAAGCCGTCCAGAAGTGGCCCGTGCCCCGATAACCAGTCCAGGTAAGCTGCCGAGAAGGAAGAGCAAACAAAAGTGGAAGCAGAAGCGAGGGGAACGGGAGGAGATCTGATCACAGCGCGAGGCTCCGAAAGTCGACACGTCACGCCATGTTTTCCAGGCAGTGTCCCCACTTCTTCTCGAAGGAACTGGGCCTGCGTGTCGGCCCGGCGGCCATGTCGTCCCCGTCGCCGCCCCGGCGCCGCCGAGGCGCCGCCCCGTCGCCGGCCCCTCGTCTGGGCCTGCGGGTCGGTCTGGCGGCATGTCGTCGCCGTCGCCGCCCCGTCGCCGCCCCGTCACCGCGCTCTCCACGAATAGATTGCATAAAATAGATTCTCATTCCTAAACGAAGAATAGACTCGACCCGTCCCCCCCCCCGAGTTAACGGGTCACCTTCTCGTAGTGCACTTTGCATACGATTCTGCCCAATCGTCCATCCTAAATATATACTCGTACTCTCCCAGCCAGGCCGGTATCACTCCCCCCCGCCATCCTCTGCCAAAAAACACTATGTGCGCACACTCGCTTATCAAAAAGCAGAAGTTTTCAATAATCCCTTGCAAGAGATGAAACGAAGTGCACAAGCGCGCGTCGTCGCGCGCGCATATCGAAATCCTTCAAAAACCGTCGGCTTCAGAAGGATTTCAAAATCGAGATTTAAAAAAAAAGAAAAAGAAACATACAACAACACAGGGTTTCCCAACACAGATGTTCTAAACAAACTTACGCGCGCGCCCTTTGCGAAATCATGCGGGAACCATGGGCTTCTCAAAAGATGCAAAAAAAAAAAAAAAAAAAAAAAAAAAAAAAAAAAAAAAAAAAAAAAAAAAAAAAAAAAAAAAAACTACCAAACGGGCTTCGCGCGCGCATGTCAAAATTTTTCGAACGCCGTTGCGCGCGTGCCGTCGCAAGAATCTTCCGCAAACAATGGGACGAATTGCGCACGCGCGCGTCGTCACGCGCGCATGCCGAAATCCTTCAACAGCCTTCGGTTTCGGAAGGATTTGTTAATCGAGTTTCCTTTTTGCTTAGAAAAAGAAAAAACTCCCAACACAGATATTCAACGAAAGCGTGCGCGCGCGCTCTTGCGTCGTCGTCGTCGCCGTCCTCCCTCCCCCTTCGTCATCTTCATCGTCGTCGCCGTCGTCGTTCTCTGTCTTTCCTCGTCGTCGTCGTCGTCTTGGCGCCGTCGTCGTTTCCGTCGTCGTTGTCGCCGTGGTCGTCCTTCCTCCCTCGTCGTCTCCGTCGGCGTTTCGTCGTTGTCCCTCGTATTTCGTCGCCGTCGTCATCGTCGTTTTCCTTCCTCCCTCGTCGTTGTCGTCGTCGCCGTCGTCGTCCTCCCTCCTTCCTCGTCGTCGTCGTCTGCGTTGGCGACGTCGTCGTCGTCGTCTTCGTCGTCGCCGTCGTCGTCGCCGTCGTCGTCGTCGGCGTCGTCGTCTTCGTCGTCGCCGGCGTCGTCGTCGTCGGCGTGTTGTCATCGTCGTCGTCGTCGTCAGCGTCGGCGTCGTCGTCGTCGGTGTTGTCGTCGTCGTTGCCGTCGTCGTCGTTGGAGACTCGCCCGCAACGTGTACCGTTGTCGACGTTGCCATGATACTGCGCCCGCCCAAGTCGCCGACTCACAATGAACTGCCCGCTGGTATATGTGCCCAACGAACACGCCACCGCGGCCGCGTCGGTCGCGCCAAACCAGCTGGCCGGTGCGCGCGCGTGCTTGGGTTGGCGCGGCCGCAGAGAGGCACCAGCCAACGCCAAGCATGCACCGCATTCGCCACCTTACGGGTTTTGCAAATCAAATTGCGGGTGGGTCGGTGGGATGTTTGCAAAAGCACGGGATGTGTCAACCCGTGTGTTAGAATCACTTCTCCTTTCTAAAAACAGAATAGGATCTACCCCCCCTCCCCCGGAGTTATCCCTTCACCTTTCGGGTATGCAAATGAAATATGATTCTGAGCACAGGTCCATCCTAAGTATGAAATCGCAATGTCAAATGCCAACCGGTATCCCCCCTCCGAGGTTCCCCTTTTCACAAAAACGCTATGCGGTGACATGTGTTGTTCTAGCATAGCACTTGCTTACGAATCCCTTGCACAAAACGGGACGAAGTGCACACGCGCGCGTCGACGCGCGCGCATGCCGAATCCTGCAAAAACCTTCGGTGCCGGCAGGATGTCGCAATCGAGTTCCCAAAAAACATACAAAAACACCGGGTTTCGCAACACTGATTTGCTAAAAAAACTTCCGCGCGAGCTCTTGCGAAATCTTAAGAAAACCATAGGTTTGTCAAAATGTTCACACAAAATTTTAGAAAACGGGCTTCGCGCGCGCGCATTTCGAAATCTGTCGAACGCCCTTGCGCGTGTGCCGTCGCGAGAATCCTTTGCAAAAAACAGGACGAAGTGCAAACGCGCGCGTCGTCGCGGGCGTATGCCGAAAAACTTCAAAACCCCTCGGTTCCGGAAGGATTTCAAAATCGTGTGTCCAAAAAACCTACAAAAACCAAAGGTTTCGCAACACGGATTTTCAACAAAATCGTGTGCGCGCGCTCTTGCGTCGTCGTCGTCGTCGTCGCCGTCCTCCCTCCTCCCGCGTCGTCGTCGTCGTCGCCTACGTCGTCCTCTGTCTTTCCTCGTGTTCGTCGTCGTCGTCCTCTTTGGCGTCGTGGTCGTTTCCGTCGTCGTTGTCGCCGTGGTCGTCCTTCCTCCTCCTCCCTCGTCGTCGTCGTCGTCGTCGTCCGTCGTCGGCGTCTCGTCGTCGTCCCTCCTGTTTCGTCGCCGTCGTCGTCGTCGTCGTTGTCGTCGTCGTCTTCCCTCCTCCCTCGTCGTTGTCGTCGTCGGCGTCGCCGTCCTTCCTCCTTCTTCGTCGTTCCCGTCGTCGCCGTCCTCCCTCCTCACTCGTCGTTGTCGTCGTCGTCCTCTGTAATTCCTCGTCGTCGTCGTCTTGGTGTCGTCATCGTTTCCGTCGTCGTTGTCGCCGTGGTCGACCGTCCTCCCTCGTCGTCTTTGTCGGCGTTTCGTCGTTGTCCCTCCTATGTCGTCGCCGTCGTCGTCGTCGTCGTCTTCCCTCCTCCCTCGTCGTTGTTGTCGTCGGCGTCGCCGTCCTTCCTCCTTTTTCGTCGTTCCCGTCGTCGCCGTCCTCCCTCCTCACTCGTCGTTGTCGTCGTTGTCGCCGTCGTCGTCCTCCCTCCTCTCTCGTCGTCGTGGTCGTCTTCGTTGGCGACGTCGTCGTCGTCTTCGTCGTCGTCGTCGTGGGCGTCATCGTCGTCGGCGTCGTCGTCGTCGGTGTCGTCGTCGTTGTCGTCGTTGTCGTCGTTGTCGCCGTCGTCGTCGTCCTCCCTCCTCACTCGTCGTCGCCTTCGTTGGCGTCGTCGTCGTCGTCT